CAGCCATCTGACCGAGGAAGCACCCTTCCAAGAACACCGACAGACGAGCCAGGTGCACGTTATGCACAAAACCAACTTGTTCCTTCCAAAAATGATCTTTTTACCGTTTTGTTCAGCCTACCAAACAAAATTTGTTAATAAAATGTTCCCTGAATTGGAAGGAGAAGGAAAAAGCAAGTTATGACACTATTCCAACAACTAGACAACCATCAAACCTGGAAATGGAGATGATTGGGAATTTGATGACGTCTCAGTAAGCCAAATTTGAGAAAAATTCCCACTGCCTGTGCCTTGCCCGTTGGAGTGCTCGGGTCACGCAGGCGCATCATTAACCAACCACAAAAAAGAGTGAATTTTGTGGAAGAGGTCAAATTCATTTCCATTCTACTAACTTAAAATTCCCATAAACAATGCAATATTGGGAAGTTCCATCGTTCTACTTTCGCCTGTTCTTAGAGTGGAAGCGCAGTGAAGTGCAGCAGTGATCAGCAAATCACCGAGAAGAGGCAAATTGGAGGAGGGCTTATAAAATGATGCTATCGCAAATCTCCCATCCATCCATCCATCCATCCATCCACTCGCCCACTCACTAAATCCCATTCCATCCGTGAATGCATTAAACGCAGTGTGTTACAACAATTAGTCGCCACAATCGCTAGCACTGGGCACTGGCGTTTACGCTTTTGCCTACTCCACATGCCTCGGCGACAACTGCATGCGCAGAACGCCAATCCAAAGGTGTACACTCGGAGGAAGGGAGGGAGGAAGGAAGAACAAGGTTTGGAAGGTACTCACTTCATCTGTTTCACAATGGTACTCTTGCCTGACTCGCCGGCACCTTGAATAAGAGGAAAAAAGACCGAGGTGAGGCTTTTTTGGAAGGTGGAAAAATCGCATACATTTGTACAGTACGAAATTGCACCACTTTAGTAAAAAAATGCTGAAACAAAATCGGTAGACTTGAACACGTCAGTCAGGCTTTGACCATTAAGATGGACTCTTAAAAGAAACACTAATTTTCCCAACGAATTTTTATCCAGTAATGAAAAAAAAATTGTATATTTTATTTTGAGAGAGATGGGTTGTGGTGTTCCAAGTAAACGCATTTTCGAGCCATAATTATGATGTGGGCAGACAACTGTAGGCTCGCCTACCAGCCGTTGTAGGAGCAATTTGCGTCACACACACACACATCCACACGTAATCCCACTCCACACACAAAAACAAGGCCATTTGGTGTATTCATGTCCCTCAGGGGAGGCCTAGAAGGACTCCGAAGTATCACAGATGGAAGAGCGCGGACGCTTGCCCCTTTCGAGGACGGCAGATTGGACATGCAAACTACACTTCAAACAGGAAATTGAACCTGAAGTTAAGTAAACGATCAAGAAGTTCGTCTCAGCGTGTTTGCTATGTGACACTGGTTCTTCCTCCCCTGGCCTGTCGATCATGTGCCCTGTGTGTGACGTCCATCGTTTAGGAAACGCATTGAAGTGAAAATGATGAGGTTAGTGCAGCGGTACTGAGGGGCTTGCGGGCAGATTACAAAGTAGGCCACATCAGGTTCGAAGTCTTAAGCTTCCAACTTATTGGTAATGCATACGATCCATTGGTAAAGACGAAATCTAATGGAGAAACCAAATGGTTTTGAGAATAAGGGTATCGCTAGCGTAAGGATTTTGCTTGACGAGGTAGTGTGCAAGTGTTGCCAGAATCGAGAAGCATTCAGAAAAAGGAATTACTAACAGAACTAGCGGTCTAACGTATACTCAAGGCGTTTAACTTTGATGTCTTAAGCCTCAGCCACATTGTGGAAATGAAATTGACTATTGTCAGACGGAAAGTTGACCTTAAAAAGGGTTGAAACGACTTACCGAGGAGGAGAAGTTTAACATCCTTGGCGGCTTGCATGCCATCCTCCTTCAGTTTCTTGTCAATATTACGACTCTGTTCTAAGGCGTCACGCTCCTCCTTGGACAGCGTACATCCCATGATGAGGTGAAGGCGAGAGAGAAGAGAGCTTTGAAAAGGCCTCGACGACTGATGGCGGTGATGAGTGATGGGAGGGGGCGGTGCTTAAATCCGAAATCCTGTGGTCTAGTTAGCTTCACTCCACTCAATTTCACTCTACTTTCTCACTAGCTCTCCCTCGCTCACTTTCTCCTACACGATCGTTCGCTAGCCTTTATCTTGCCTGGCTGGGAAAAGCAGAAAACTCCCCACCACCTGACTGGCTGCTTGACTGGCTCTCTCTCGCTCTGTCCCACAAGAATATACGCACGCACACGTGCACGCACACGCGCGTACTCACGCACCACGCAATCCTACACCGTCCACTGGGCATTGATGCACGTGTGCACCGCCTTCGCGACCTATGATTGGCCGCTCCAGTAGCGTTCAATACGTCATGCTGCATCCCTATTGGGCGATTGGGAAGAAAGGCAGGCAAGTGTGAAATGCACTGACATGCGTGTGTTGTCAATGCTACAGGCGGGTACGGACTTGGGTGCGTGCGCATGCGATTCGGCGGCATGCCAGGGGTTGAGGATCGTCCGACTCAGCTTGAGGGATGTACTGCCTTTACCTTAGTAGTTCCTGCCCAATACCAGGGGTATGAATTGATGACGCAAACCATTTATTTACCCATCGGTTAATGGATGCAGTTTCAGGGCTGTTACGACTCATGCACAAGACTAAAGCCGAAGCACTAAATGCGATAGAGCTTAGCATTTCTGCCAAATTACTTTTAAACGAATATTTGACTCCATCATCATGAAAGTAAAAAGGGGATGATGCTTCGACAATACTTGTAACAGTCACCGCTCAACGTGACAGAATGTTGTATGGAAATTAAGAGACTGTGAGCTGTTTGGAAGTGACGTTCAAACAGAAAGGAGGTAATGTTCGTCTTTTCTTTTGGTGGAAGAACTACCGGGCATTTGACTAGCAAATGTGAAGTTTTATAGAACGTGTATTAGTGATTTAGCATCAAGTCTGCATGGTCTTATTGAACATGTGAGATTTTGAGCGGTACTATATCAAAGTATTAAGCACTATAAGTCCGACTGTTGCGTAGCATTAAGTAGCGCAGCATAGCACAGCTCACTGACCAAAGAAACCAGTACGTAATCAACTTTTAAAGGCATTTAACGCCGGTAAAAGAAACTGAGTTTACACTTGTTCTACTTAAATGTGTAAGTAGCAGAGGTTGACGTTGTGGGATGCTGTTTTAAGAGTGGCAGATGTTGCGATAGTTTTCACACAACAGAACTTTTTGCAAATTTAGTTCAGAATGTGAAAACAATTGCAGGGTTCGTTTACTGTTTGACTGTTGTACTTCAGATAACAGAAAAAACGCCCCTTAAGGTTTAAAAGTATTCTATTAGAGTAGGACTATAAGAATGGATTCGGAGGTTAAAGCTCTTCACTAACAGCATTTGTCTAGTTTTCAAAAAATTAAAGTAGCAAGATCTTATGGCTTAACCAAACCCCTCTGTTTTGGACATCACCTAGCGCTTCGATACGTATACCGGTAGATGGGATTGGAATTTTAGAAACTACTTCTACTTTGCAAACCATCATTCACATTTGTTTCATTTAGGCATTACATATTTTTCACTCAATGTGTCATTTAAAAACACGTCTTCTTCTCGAATCTTAATGATTAAGACGAATGCTATGCGTGGCGGAATTAATCCGCCGTAATTTGGCAAGACTTCCCTTTGGCAAGTAGTAAATTTTTAGATTCGCCTACTTTTATATATGAAAAGTGTAGCACTTACTTTCCGCTAGATTAGCTTTTGGACATGCACTGTAGAAATTTTATATTGAAAGTTCAAGTTGACACATTACATAAAAATTTGACCATTATGCTACTCGTTACTCATAAAAAGGAAAAGAGTTGTACTAGTTGTAAGTGACCTTGAGGTTTGTATTAGCTAAAATATTAGATCTCAACCCTAGACGGTAAAGTCGCCTTGTTTGAAAAAACCAATCCCCAATTCAGGAAGGCGACGCTTTAGACAAGAATGTCGAATTCTCCTCCGAAAAATCCAGAGGATGATCGAGTTGTTAAAAGTGAGTGAATCCTGAAGCATTACTACACCTTAAAAAATCTCATTTGGCACATTTCTGCATTTTTTCCCTTTTTTATCAAATATCTATGAAAATATTTTTACAAAGCTAACCGAATCGGCATCGCTTAATACTTCATTTTGTTACCACCAAGACACTTCAAACAAGTAGCTGTCCTTTCTGCAGATATTGCTCATCCGAAAACATGCTTGATTTTCGCTAACTCAACCGTATTCCCATGCTAGTAATCTGTAGAGACGAACTTTCATGTAGTGGAAACACAACTTTTTGGCGCCCAAGGCTTTCCAACGACTTTTTCCACCTTGCATGTTTATGTAAAGTCAACAGTATTTTTGACAAAGCCATAACTTTTAGCCTAGTTAGCGATTTAATTTTCATTTTTTATCTGGATGATATGTACACAAATTCGTGCTTGCATTGGAAGTTTTCCTTTACCGAAGTGTATGCATCACCGGCAATTATTTTTTTTTGGTGTGCTGATTTATTTAGTGTTTTTAACTTTTATTCCTAATGAGACGAGAATAGCGTTTAACCCCATTAATTTTAATAATTGTTAATTTAAGCGAAATGAAAGTGGTAGGAAGGCTTGGGTCTGTTGCATCTGAATCGGTTTAATTCGTTCAAGTTAGTGTAGTATAGTAGAGTTAAGTTGTTACGTTGGCAATGGAAGTGCTTATGTAATTGTTGCATCAAGTATTTACAAGTGCATTAGGGTGTGGTGCACACTACCTTTGCTTAAATACCTAAAACATAGTTTCAGTCGATTTTCTGCACGTTTTCGAGTCGTGTTTAATAAATAGGCAATGGTAAATGTGTGCTGCAATTTAGTATAAACAACACTAGAAATAGCTTGTAGTTATGGAAAATGCGAAGGAAGCTAGTCCATTCTTAGTACCTCTTTTTAGCTAAAATCATGTCGCAATACTGGAATTTTGAATCGTGTTCAGGTAAGCAAATGTGTGACAGTCCTGGACTTTCTTGGCATTCCCAAAAGCATTTACTACTAGTTGCTTCAGCTGCACTAGCTTAAGAATGCTGCGGATGACCCAGAAGCAGCATTGGTTGACCAGCCGTCTTTGTATCTGCAAATTCATGCTATTCTGAGATATAAAGGTATTAGTTTGCGGGATATTCGATCATGAGATGAATTCGGTACGCCCGTAAACTTATTTGCATGATTGAGAAATTACAGGCTGCTACAATACATTGTCGAATAGAGCTTTAGTTTACTGCCTTTTCCCACTCAAACCGCACCGAATTGGGCTCGAGACCTGTCGTCGCTTCAATCAAACCATGGGTAGGCAAAATTTTATTGCCCAAGGCCCAAGGCATTGGCCCCGCTTTTTCGCATGTAAGCAGACTGGTGGGTGGGTAAGGGGGGCAGGCGGATGGGCAGTTGGGATGGGGCTTTATGGTTAGCTACTGGTCGAACGTGCGGACAAATTGTGCTTGCGTGCGCCCAAGCGTCCACGCGCACACTTCTACACGGATGTGCGTACACAGGTCAAAGTGCGTCAAAGGTACACATACACACGCACACATGCACACACCTTTGTGGCCTTCCTACTAGTCCGGTGAGTGCAGGTATGAGAATGCTTAACCTTTAAAACTCACATGCGCCTACTCATCCACTTGTTGTGACTCCCTTTTTAATACGTTTGACTCATAGTCTCGTTTCATTATTCACTAACTGTCTGTAAGGGGCGAGAATGAGGTGGAGTGGGGAAGACTGAGGAAGGAGCAATTATGTTACAGTACTTCCGGTATTGATAGGAAGCTAATTTTAAAGATTGGTTTTGTTTCTGACGTTATGCAGGCCTGCAATTCGGTAGGACACAATCCCCTTCCCACGTTGATGGTCCCTCAAATTGGACAGTTTTGAAATTGCTCGGCAATCATGCTAATTTGTTAATTCCTAAGGCGTCTAAATCTTATTTGACTACAGGAGTGAAATTTATAAATAATAAAAGGCCTAAATACAGTAGGTGTCATAGCAATTTGACTAGGCTCTGTGCAGGATTGCGGTGGCTACAGTTCAATTACTTTGGTTGGCCTGGCAAGCAACTCCTCCTACCTGCACATTCAGTCTGCTTGGAGGGCTGACTAATTAGTCAGGAGGCAGGTGTATTATGGTAATGAGGCGAGAAATACCAGTTAAACACCGAGAGAAGTAATAAGAAAACTGTTTGTGTTTGTGGTAGGTAAGGTAGATGAATAGGTAACTCTTTCTCCCCCTCTCAAAATGTCCTCTCGAATTGCCTTCAAGGTGGTTGAGAGTGAAATTAGTAGTGAAAGTCAATTATACTCTTCTTATATCACCTTTTTTAAGGTACTTTTTTATTTGGCTAAAAGATGGTACGCATTGACTTTGCATTAACTTCATTTCGAGGGATTTTTGTGGAGTTGGTGTTTGAGTAAAATCGACAATCTAGAAGCCGCTTTTCGGCTTAAGAGTTGTTCAGACACCGCTAAGAGTTTTCAAGGAGACGTTCATTCACGACTCCCAAGAGGCGAGCTGAGAGGAAGGTAGGAGTGAAATGTTGCTATCCCCTTACAGGAATGCGGATTGAGACCTTACAATCGTCTTCCTCAAAGCAGGTGTTTCTTATTTTACTTAAAATCGACTTTTTATGCAGTGTCAAAAAGGCAGTAATTCAACTGTCTCAAAATGTTCGGTTTCTTTGACACCAGGAGGACAAAAATAGATGCAATTCTGGCGCCTACTAGCGTAGCTTACGTCTTTTTTTTCCCCAAGGAAAGGGAACTGGAACTCCATTCAAAACCTCATGTGAGATTTACTGCAGAGATAGGAGACTTTCCAGCCCTTTTGGGAGTACGATTTTACTAGGGAGATGAAGGAAGGCATTCATGGGAAAGAGGATTGCTTCGCCTTTATT